TCTCTGCCTGCACCAGGTGCATGGACCAGACCGCCAGAGGCAACAGGCTGCGTAAGAAACGAGAGAGAAAGGGGAAGCAAGGACTCCACTGTGCAGGGCCTCGACTGCCAGGCCGAGGAGGTGGGGGTTCACCCTGCTGAGTTATTGAGGGAATGAACTGAGATCATGCAAGTTGGGCATGAGGCCGGGCCTGGAACATAGTGAGCTCTCAGGAAACAATGGCAGTGGGAGCCATTGGTGCTGGTCGTGTGTTTCCGTTTGCTTTCTACATCTGTGTTTTTAATTATACTTTTTTATTTTGAGACAACTGTAGATTAGTATGCAGTTGTAAGAAATAATACAGAGAGATCCTTTGTACTCTTTACCTAGTTTCCCTCAATGGGAACTTTAGTTCCATGTCACAGCCAGGATGGTAACATTGATACAGTCAATGTTACTGTTTCCATCATCACAAAGACCCCTCACGTGGTTCTTCTATAACCAACTCACCTGTCTCCTCCCACCTCCTTTAACCCCTGGCAACCACTAACCTGTTTCCCATTTTAATATTTTTGTCATTTCAAAATGTTAAATAAATGAAATAATATTCTATATAACCATTTTGGATTGGCTTTTTTTTTTTTTTTTCACTCGACATAATTCTCTGGAGATTCATCCAGGTTGTTGCAGGTAGCAAGTTTGCTCCTTTTAACTGTTGAGTAGTATTCCACGGTATAGATGACCACCCAGCTGTAAGGACATCTGGGCCATTTCTAGGTTTGTCTATTACAAATGAAGCTGCTATAAACACTCATGTATAGGTTTTATATAAACATGCATTTTTATTTCTCCGGGATAAATACCCAGGAGTCCATTCGCTGTGTCCCATGATAGTTGCATGTTTAGATTTTTAAGAAGCTGACCAACTGTTGTTCCCAGTGACTGTGCCATTTCCATACCCACTGGTAGTATGTGATGAACCAGCTTCTCCGCATCCACACCAGCATTTGGTGTGTCTCTGTGTTTTATTGTAGCGATTCTGATAGGTGTGTGGTGATACCGCACTGTGATTTGATTTGCATTTCTGTGATGGGTAATGATGTTGGACATCTTGTCATGTGATTGTTTGCAGTGTGTACATCCTCTGCAGAGAAATGTCTCTTCCTAGCTTTTCCCCATTTTGTAATGGGATTGTCTGTTTGTTACTGTTGAGTTTCTTTGACACATAGTTTATATACCACACAATTCATTCTTTTAAAGGATACAATTCAGTGTTTTTAAATATATTCACAAGGTTGTGCAACCATCACCACTATCTAATTCTAGAACATTTTTATCACTCAAAAAAGAAACGCCATACCCATTAGTTCTCACGCCACATTCTCCCCTCCCCCATCCCTGGCAACCACAAACCGCCTTTCCATCTTTATCTATTTTCCTGATCTGGATGTTTTATATAAATGGAATCATACAATATATTAATATGGCTTTTATGTCTGGCTTCTGTCATTTAGCATAATGTTCTCAAGGGTCATGAATGTTGTAGCACATATCAGAACTTCATTCCTTTTATGGCTGAATAATACTCTACCATATGGATCTACCACATTTTGTGTATCCATTCACCAGTGAAAGGACATTTGTGTTGTTTACACTTTGGGCTATTGTGAATAATGCTGCCATGGGCATTCATGCGCAAGTTTTTGTGCACACGTATGTTTTCATTTCTTTTCCACCTAGGAGTGGAACTGCTGGGTCATATAATATGTCTGTGTTTATCTTTTCCAAACTGTTTTCCAATGCATTTGCACCATTTTATTAATATATTCCCACCAGCAATGTATGTGGGTTCCACTTTC